TACATTTGTATATTATCATGTCCATCTGTTACTCTTCCTTGCTCATCTGTGTTCTGTGGCAGTCATAGACATAGATAAGTATTGAACATTTAAAAAAATAGTTTATTGATAAATATTAAACATTTTAGAAAACTTTTAAAAAATCCTTAGATCATGATAATCTCTTACGTAGTGTTGGTCAAATTTTATATAATTCTTTTCGAGATATTTTACCACTACGTTAGGCTATAAGAATTTAATAAATCCAGACTGAAATAATCGTTTCAGGCAGGTGAAAGTGCTAAGCAAGAGAGTGAGAGAAAGCATTAACTTTCCACTTGCACTTTTAACTCCTAAACTATTGGCGGAGACTAAAAGCTCTTAAATTGTACTCCCTGGAGCGCAGGCGAGAAACATGGATCATAATAAACTCTGGAAAATAAAAAACGTCCAGGGACTTGCTCCAAGTCTTTACAGTGAAATAATTCTGTACCGAAGAGGAAATTACGGAAAAGGGTGGAAAATATCTCAGATGAAAGAGTGAGCGTGCAACGCTGCAACAAAGAGAGCTCTTATGTACTTAAATTACAAAAGGCTTTTCACTCTCATCTAAAATCTAGGAAAATTACTAACAGCCTCTACCCCCTTTTAACAGTTTTAAAATTTAATTGAACTAAGTATAATTAAATACCTGCTAATCAATAATATATATTGGAAATATTTTTAAAGATATTTTCTTCGCTTAAAAGCAAAACGTCCACAAAACATTTTCTTATGTTATATTATCTTGCTTTTGTTTTGTTTCAAGATAAAGACAACTAATCAATGTTTCCACAAATTGTTTCTTGAATTTTATGCTTAAACTTGAAACAGGATGGAATTAAGGGCTAGGAAAGTTCCAGAGTATTTTAAATTGAAAAGATAAACATTGCTAACTGGTTCCAGTTTCAATGCTAATAACACCACTGAAGTTTCTTATATGACCGTCGAGCGCAATAACCTTCTTCTTCGTCTTCTTCTACTTCTTCTTCTAATTATTATTATTATTATTATTATTATTATTATTATTATTATTATTATTATTATTATTATTATTATTATTATTATTATTATTATTATTATAAAAATAGGAATGAGCTAAACCCAGAGAAGTCATACAGCGCCTGAGGAATGAAAGGCAATCAGTTTTGATCTAGCAAAGGGAAGGGTAGGGTAGCGCCATTTCCTATCACCGGGTCACCCTCTGTCCCACCTTAAGACGGGCAGCGTCGACCATTTCAATCGATCTCTTTCCACAAGTACAGCTTTTAGGCAAAAGTATTTGAACAGTTAATTCTGCGTGTTGAAAACATTCACTTAAGACAGATTATCCTCTGTCAAGATCTTAAGTGTGTGATAAAGTCTGAGATGCTGACCCGGATGCTACAGAATCTCTCAGTCTATATACGCATTATTCACTTTATTACACAGCTTTTTATTTAAGGAATAAAGTATTCTTGACGGATAGAATCCAATTTAAAGATCTGTGCTTATGAACTTTGCTAGTGGAAGTACAGAAAGAAAAGAGCTGGACGCTATGCAATACCGTGACTGACATAAACTTGACAAGTAAGACTCATGTGCAATAGTTAGCTATTTTTATTCTCCTCTTTTTTTTAACTGATGAACCATACAGCCGAAACGAGAAGTTTTAACAGTAATGATAACCAACTGTTCAACTTGTCGGTATTTTATACTATTTGACTTAAACTTGTTGATTATTTCAGTCTTTTCTCTCTGGTAAGTACAACTCGTAGATACAAAACTACAACGGTGCCCCGTGGCGTGGTGACTTAAGCTCTCGTTTCATACAGCTAGGGTTCAGGTTCCATTGCCAGAGAGGGTAGAAACGTTGGGTGTTTCCTTACATCGGTTGTCTATGTTCACCCATCAGTAAAATGAGTACCCGGGTGTAAGTGGACTGGTGTGGGTCGCATCCTGGGAAAAAACTGACCTAATTTTCCCGAAATGTTTTGCATAACAAGGGTCTTTCTATATATATATATATATATATATATATATATATATATATATATATATATATATATATATATATATATATATATATATATATATATATATATATATATATATATATATACCTTGTACATGTACTATAAGTAAATAAAGATATTATTATATTATTACATAGGTTTGTTTTGGTTTGTATATTAAACTTCGTAAGTTTTATTTTAGCTGTCTGTTATAGCCTTTCAATATTTTTTTTTATTCAGTCTTCTAAGTTTTTTTTTGTGTACGAATGGTATATAATACCGACAAGATGAGAGTAAGACACATGTGCAACATCTGGGTATCTTTATTGTAGACGTTTCGCCATCCAGTGGCTTTATCAATACAAATTCTAGGACATAACTTGAAGACAGTAGAACTATGTACAGAAGATGAGGTAATCAGTCCCTCAATCATTTTGCAAACTTTTTCTTATTTGAAAATTTTGATGTTAGTTTTATTTTCTGTTTCTCGTTTGTGTCCATTTAAAGGCTAATGTAAATTATAATTGTTGTTTAAATCTTTCGATGGAAAAATAGACAAAAGTGCTGTATAATGCGATCCTTTATTGACTACTTTTCGCCCACATAGTGGACGTCATCAAGACACAAATATATAATTAGTTTTGGCGAAACGTTGTCAATAAAAAATCACATTATAATGCATTTGTATTTACTTCTGTATCATGTCGGAATTTTATACCGTTTATCTTTTAAATCTCTCGAATTTTATTTCGTGTTTTTAAATTTTTTGGACTAATATTTCATTTGTATGTCACGACTTATAAAATTTTATGTGTTATTTAATATTTCCTCAGTGGTTAGGGATCGCATTGTTAAACCTTCCGTTCAGGGATTACACGCGGGACTCAATTTTTAAGCACAAACATTAAACCTTCTCATAGGGGATACGCCACAAAGCTGAGGGACGAGATTTTGGGACCTTTACGATTCACGCCTTGGGGACCCGTTTTATGGATCATGCAGCGTGGTTTTGTTTCTCGAGTCCAACTATGACATTTTGAATTAAGGGTCTTTGGTTTTAGGACCACACTGTTGGTTCCTACTTTAGTCATCTACTGTTGGCTCTTATTTTAAAGACTTCATCACGTGGTTCGTAATTCAAGGATTTCTTCATGGAACCTTGCTGTTTGAACCTCATTGAAGGTCTCTAATATAGGGATAATTAAAAAAAATGAAAAGGTACAATACTGCCTCCTCTTATTTATACTGGCTCCCTTTCCTTCGCGCTTTTGTGTGACTAGTAAATGATCCAAGTCGGACTTAAACGTCGGCATAAGCTTCTGTCTCTGACGTGTGGGTTAACTGTACACAGAGACAATTCCCTTTTACCTTATTTTATGACATATACCTCTATGCCCCGTTTTAGGGATCACATCGATCACTTTACAGTTAAGATCACTATACAAGATCATATTTTAATAACTAGACTATGAGATTAATGGGACCAGACTGTTGTCTGCCTTTAGGAAGTTTTTAATTAACGTGTACAGACACTGACTACCATAGCGTAGCTCAGTGTTCAGTGCCACATAAGACTCTTCATTCTCATATCCACCAACAACAAACACAGAAGCAAAACCTAGTCCACAAGAATAAAAAAAAAACATTCACGCCAACACTAGATAAAAAATAAAATCAGTCGTAATAATTAAAAAAAAAACTGCCTCGAAGTGTCAATAATAAAAGAGTCATCTATTAGACACATGTGGAACACTTAAGTATCTTTATTGAGGAAATGTTTGGCCACACTGTGGCTTCATCAGTCCATACGAAGGAGAATGGTGAAGAACAGGAGGAGTTTGAGATATCAGTCCCTCAGCATGGAGTCGATGTAATCAGTCCATCAATCTTGAAAAGAATACAGCATATGCACGATGAAGTTGCTTATATACTGTAGATGGGTGAGGTGAAGCAGTCGTAGGTGGTAACACATTTGACAAATCCAAATGTGGAAGTAGATCATGCCTAAATGTTAAGCAAGTGAAGAATTTTCTGTAACAAGATCCCAAGGCGTTGCTGTGTGTGACAGGTCACAGATATTTCGAAGTCGTATATGATTAACTTTACACTCACTTTTTCAATTCCTACATATGTTTAGGGCCCAGCAAGCCTATCATTTGCCTAAGAAATCCGATGAATGTGGTCCAGAACAGGTTATGAGGGTAAACTCAGAGCGATCATTGGAAAATTGACAGAAATAATGCGTAGAAAGAATTGACAGATATTACATAAATACAAATACAAGATGCATTAGACCTTCGTGGACCTGGAGGTACAAGTATTGTGCTGGAATTTAGTAAGAACAATTAGTGTACAATTATAATTAGCTATTAACTAAAGCACAAAAGCTGGTAAGTAGACACGAAAAACCAACACAAGAGAGGAATGTGAACACAAATTACAATTATACAATAAGAATGTTTACTAGAATGTTGGTATAATTACTAATATTCACAAGAATGCTGGAACGAATACTAATGCATCGTAAGAGAGTAGCAGGAATTACTAATGTAACGTTGAAATGTAGCCGGAAATGCTAGGGTAATACAAGAGTGGGGCGGGGATTACTTATGTAATGTAGATATACGACAAGAACTACTACTGTACAACATGTGTGCGAAGTAATTACTAGTGGATAGTATGTGTGGGGCAAGAATTACTAGTGCACAGTATGTGTGGGGCAAGAATTACTAGTGCACAGTATGTTTGATAGGTAATTGGCAGTGTATAATATGTATGGGTAGTAATTACTAGTATACTGTATGTTTGGGCAGTAATTACTGTTGTACACTATGCATGGGGAGTAATTACTACTGTACAGTATGTATGGATAAGAGTTACTAGTGTAGTGTAGTGTGTGTGTGTGTGTGTGGACAGGAATTACTATTCTATAAAATGTGTGGGCAGGAATTAGTTAGGTTGATACCACTACACTAAAGGCGACAGTACCTTGAAGCGTCATAGATGTCTCCCTCACTCCATCTTCAGCCACACCTGCAGGAGAAATACAACAAACATTCAGTAACTTGTTTCTGTAGTCATTCTGGCTGGGTAAGAGGTGCTGTATATCTTATTCCAGACGATGCTTCGGTCACTCGAAGGTAACACATTATTATAATTACATTCATGGGGAAGCTCTCAACTCAGAGAGTTGAAACAGCGCCTTGGGTATGGAAGGCATTCAGGCTTAATTCAAGAAATTGGAGCATCACGGAACCTCCCTAGGGGGTCGAAGGTAACACACGGTGAGGGAGAACTTCGAGCTGTGAGAAGCAGCTGTTGTAAGCAGCCTGCAACAATGTCACTGCGTTGGTGTAGTGTTATATATAATATGTTCCAAGAATGCAGCTCGAACGTGAATATTTTATATCGTTTATTTTAGTAAAAATATATATGTGCCTACAATGAATTTTTCCGTGCTATGAACCAAAAACCTGTACGCCAAACAGAAAGTTGGAATCTACAAAAAAAAAAAAAATATGTTTGAGGTGTATTCTGGCACAAAAGTATAAAATTTAGTAATTTCAACAAGAAACATCAACGCTAGCAAGGTTTCCTGCTCATCATGATCTCTCATTGCTTACTCACTTTAGCCCTGTAAACATTAGCTATCCATTATTGTTAAAACACTGCTTCATTATTTACTCATCACGCTTAGTTGATCCCTCATGTGAGACCAGCTCCTCCATGCATCAGTAATGTTGTGATCCCCAGTGTGAGACCAGCTCCTAGATGCGTCGGTAATGCTTGTATTCCCAGTGTGAGACCAGCTCCTAGATGCGTCGGTAATGCTTGTATTCCCAGTGTGAGACCAGCTTTTCAGTGCGACAGTAACATTGTGATTCTCTGTGTGAGACCAGCTCCTCCATGCACCAGCAGTGCTTGCTAACTTAGTGTGACTACAACTTAAAACGGTTCACAATATCACATTTGCAACAATTCACACTTTAGCCACAAATATGAAAAAACTGGTTAATTACGAGAACTTTGGCCCAGGCTTTGTTACTACAGATGTTTGCTACTCTCAATACAGCTTAAAATGCTTTTATTTTCCGTTCATTGAAGGTGTCAGCTGATCTTTCTTTAAATTTATCTTTACATCGTTATGGACTGAAAAAGAAAGTTTGGCTATGCCCGATTTTCTTTCTCGGTTCATAATTGTCTTAGAAATCGTTAGTTTGTTTTGTGAATGTATTGTATGTGTGTGAATATATTGTAAACCTTCCAGATTCACAGCACCAAAATTAAACAATCCTAGTTCATGTTACTATTATCAAGATAATTCACGTCATGGAACTTAAGTAAAACTGTCGCACTTTTTACTGCTGTCATTAAGCTGTCCCGCTTCATAACGGCTGCTGATTCCTTGCGACATCAGGAGCAACTACGCTATATCCCTTTCAACATGTAGTTTCCCGTAGGTGTACGAGTATCACACACACACACACACACACACACACACACACACACACACACACACACACACACACACACACACACACACACACACACACACACACACACACACATACATATACATACACGTGTCACAATGGGCACATGTAACGAGCGGGGTGCCACAGAGGTCAGTCTTATGACCAGTGCTGTGTCTGGTATTTGTGACCGACATGACGGAAGGAGCAGATTCTGAAGTGTCCCTGTGTGCAGATGATATGAAGTTGATGAAAAGAATTCAATCGGACGAGGACCAGGCAGAGCTACAAAGGGATCTGGACAGGCTGCAGGCCTGGTCCAGCAAATGGCTACTGGAGTTCAACCCCACCAAGTGCAAAGTCATGAAGATTGGGGAAGGGCAAAGAACACAGCAGACGGAGTACAGTCTAGGAGGCCAGATGCTACAAACTTCACTCAAAGAAAAGGATCTTGGGGTGAGTAAAACACCAGGCACATCTCTTCAGGCACACATCAACCAAATAACTGCTGCAGCATATGGGCGCCTAGCAAACCTAAGAACAGCATTCCGACATCTTAACAAGGAATCGTTCAGGACCCTGTACACTGTGTACGTTAGGCCCATATTGGAGTATGCGGCACCAGTTTAGAACCCACACCTAGCCAAGCACGTAAAGAAACTAGAGGAAGTGCAAAGTGGAAAGGTTAAGGGAAATCGACCTGACGACACTGGAAGACAGGAGAGATAGGGGGGATATGATTACGACATATAAAATACTGAGAGGAATCGACAACGTAAACAGAGACAGGATGTTTCAGAGATGGAACACAACAACAAGGGGACACAGTTCGAAGTTGAAGACTCACATGAATCACACGGATGTTAGGAAGTATTTCTTCAGTCACAGAGTTGTCAAGAAGTGGAATAGTCTGGGATGTGATGCAATGGAGACAGGATCCATACATATCTTTAAGAAGAGGTATGATAAAGCTCATGGAGCAGGAAGAGTGACCTAGTAGCGACCAATGAAGAGGCGGGGCCAGGAGCTGTGACACGACCCCTGAAACCACTACTAGGTGAGTACACACACACTTAGAAAATGTGCGAGTCTATCAAAATGTAAGAGAAAAAAGTACAAGGACATGGAAAATAGTACAGAAACGAATATGGAAGAATATGCAAGAATATGCAAGAATATGCAAGAGTATGCAAGAGTTAGGAGAAAAACTCAGCAATAATCTAGACTGACAGAGCAGCAAAAACCAAGTCTGATACGAAACTGCTTCACATTCACATCAAAAGTAAGACAGTTGTAAAAGACCGGAAAATAAGACGTAAGCAAGACGTTGGAAGTCTGTGAGGATGTAAACAAACGATTTATAGAGATGTACGAGCAACACCAATGAGTGTGATAAATGGTTTGAAAACCGACAAGTTGAAGATTGACACACTTACGCAACATATGGGAATATTTATTAAGGATTGCCATATGTTGCATAAGTGTCACAATCCTCAAGAGAGAGAGTACACCATACACAAATAACCCGCACATAGAAGAGAGAAGCTAACGACATTTCGGTCCGTCTTGGACCATTTACAAAGTCACACTAAAAGGAACTGAGCATAGTGTCCGAAGGAAATAAAGAGTTGAAAAATTTATGAGTGAGTGTCACCATGAAGGGGAGCAGAAGCAATATCCAAACCACAAACTAAAATTTACAGGCCACTGTCAGACAGTGAATGTAATCTCAATATTTATGAAAGGAAACAGACGGGAAGCGTTAAACTACTGACGAATATCTTCCACATTGAAGGGATGAGATAATTCCTGAATTATCTCATCCCTCATGAGAAAGGGATCAGGAAGAAAAGTCAAAGAATGCGATGATGGAGTATCCAGTCGGAATGTGCTAGGAGACACAAGAAAATCTCATACCTAGAAGATTAAATGTGTATATAAAAAAAAAAGTGCACCCACCTGGCTCAACCAAAGATTCAGAGACCAAAAAAAAAAAAAAGAGAGCATGGAAAACTTATTGAACGTGAAGGACATAAGAGTTGTCAACTGAAACCATGTGTGACTTAGACATGTAATGGTGCCATGTGTTGAAAGCTTTGTGTCGTCCTCCGATGGATTACAACTTTGCCTCACTCTGCCTAGGGTGAAAGTTTTGGGTTACCCTACCTTAGTCGTAAACGTTGGGCCACCCTACCTTAGTCGTAAACTTTGGGTCACCCTACTTAAGTCGTAAACATTGGGTCACCCTACCTTAGTCGTAAACATTGGGTCACCCTACCTTAGTCGTAAACATTGGGTCACCCTACCTTAGTCGCAAGGTTGGGTCGCTCTGCCATGATTAAAAACATTGGGTCACCTTGCTTTCGCTGAAACTTTGCATTTCCCTGCCTTAGTTACAAACTTTTCGCTACCCAGCTATTGATGTAATTTTTGTCTCACCCTGTCGTTGTTACAACCTTCGCCCCGCTGGGTGCTGTGGGAAATCAATTGAGACTATGTTCGTAAAAAAATCTATGACTCGTTTCAATTTGGGAGCTGAGAGCCTCCCCATCAAAGGGGCGCTGCACAGCTCGCGCCCCCAAATTGGAAACAAGCCATAGATTTTTGCAGTAATTAGTTTAATGGATTTCCCGACACAAATCCTTCTTTAATAAAAGTTTTTTTTACGAATATCAGTATTAACGTGATTGGAGCGAGACTTTAAGAGATACTTGCATTTTCCTCTAATGGTTCACTACGGTTCATTTACTGTCTTCCACTAATGGATTAGAAAGTGAAGTCAGGTTAACTTCAGGTGGTGGGTGAGCAAGTAATAGATACCACTTAATCCCAGTGGTTATACAGGGGTCACAACTGTGAAATAACATTTGAGTATTTGAACACTCAAGCATCCAATCTACAATTTTATGTACTTATGTATGTGCTCACATGTGCTCGCATCAGGGGTGACATGTCCAGTGGAACTAGGCTCCTGTTGTTTAAAGTACTGATGGCCGGGTGGAATATGGCGTCTCGGAATTTTGACGGGCTTCTCGGGAGGTGTGCTAAAATAACAGGGATTCGATCCCCGGCTAGTCGCAGTATTGTTATAGACTGAAACCACTCGTTCGCTGATGTATTAATATATATATATATATATATATATATATATATATATATATATATATATATATATATATATATATATATATATATATATATATATATATATATATATATATATATATATATATATATATATATATATATATATATATATATATATAATGTCGTGCCGAATAGGTAAAAACTTTCTATTTTGGCTTAAATAGCAACGCACTTCTTGCCGAATAAAGCGTGAAGTGCATTGCAGTAATTCCGCAAAAATCATTCTGAATCTAACGAAAAAAATTAATTTCATTGTGTCTGTTTATTATTAAATTATTCTAAACTTATTTAAAATATATTTAGTTGGATTAGGCTAAGTTAAACTGCGTTTGTTATAATAAGGTTAGGTAAGTTATCTAAGGGTTTTTTGGTACAGAATTATTAATTTTTACATTTACATAAATGTAAACTATA